TATATACATACATACATACTCCAGTATTGTGTATAAAGTCCGATGGGTCCGATTAGAGAGGCACTTCGGGACCGATGAGTTGACTTAATTTCCAATCGGGAGTTGAGTAGACAGAGTACGCAATAAGGTTATGAAATAGATCAAAGATGAGGGGGAAGAAATTTTCAGTCTGGAGCCGCGTGTGAATCTTCTCGTAGAATGGGGCGAAGGAACGGATAAGGAACGGATAAGGCATGCCGTTCATTTTCGAAGAAAATATGTGTAAAATGAGTTTAGGAATTGGGTGATAACATAAAATGGCTTGATTAAAGTGAACCAGATTGCGTTTACACTCCCGTATGTACTCCGTTCGTAGGATTCGTGATGGCGGCTGTGTTGATCCTGGTCGATGTTGTGTTTGTGCTTCCTCACGAAGGTGTGTCACCAAGGTACTATCTGTATGTATTGAGGGTGAAAATGTGCTACCGTGAAAGGAAAATTGGAAGAACCCCCAAGTCGAGAAAAGATCTTAAACAGTTACATTACATCTCGATGTCACTCCCGAAATCTCATCCGGAGATGAAAAATGAGGCCATCCCGTTTCTCGCCTGCCCACTCGTGCTCGCGGCTGTTTCTCGTGTCTGCACGGTAAGGCTATATGCAATGCGATGCTAGCTATGCGCATCGTATCGTGTCGTGAGAAAGTTACCGACTGCCTGGATCAAATTTGTGCTGTCATTACCTTGCCTTGGCCTCTCACGCGAGAAGATTGGAGGGGTATAAAATAAGATACTTTTGGAATGCTGACATAGGTTACAGGCGTTTGGATCATCTCAAACAAGAATTTTGGGGGCCAAAGAAAGGGAAGAGATGCCGGTGAGCAAAAACTCACTTTGATGAGGCGCTGCTTGCTTTTGTGTATTGTTGTGTTCTTATGCGGCCGGTATATTGCTGTTTGATGTGCTGACTGCACCGGGCAGTGATGTGCATGGTGTGGAGACTGATGGACTTGGCCCCGAGGTGTACGGAGTACAGAATATGAGAGCAAACATTTGGTAGGTGGTTTTGTGATTTGGCCTTTTGTTGGTTGTTTGGCGGGAATGGTAAGCCAAGATTATGGGATTCGATGATCAGTGTAGCAGTGTGGTGGATGATTGTGGGGATGTGGGATAAAATGGTCTTGAAGTTGGTGATGTGATGATTTTCGAAACTTCACCCCCAACAAATGACTGGCTGTAAAGCAATAATGTTTGCGATTCATATACTCGGCCAGCCTTCAGCCCCCTTTTCAATTGCCGAATCTGGAGAGCCTTGAAGAAACATAAGCTTTTTCATTTACGCTCCTACAGTTACCTTCTTGATCCTTCAGGTTTGATGATATTCACATTGTACTCGGTATGATACATAACAGTTGGTCCAACAGTCGTAGTCAGCTAATCATGCTTTTGTGTGGCTGATGGAGACTAATGGTCCTAATCCGAAATGCTTTCCTTGAATCCACTAAGCTTACGAATCCAGGACCCTCATCATTTATCCTTATTACCAAGGTTAAACTTGTAAAGAATGACCTAAAGAAGATGGATTGTGTTGTCGGTCCCGGTCAAGATATAGATGAGTGTTCGTTGATGAAATGGATTGGAGGACAACGGGTGCTAGTGAATATCTCCTAACTAGATGACTAACTACTTACAAATACGCATACGGTCGTAAAACATCAAAATCCAGAACTCTGAATGATATCGAAACAAAGTTTAGTGCATTGGCGTTCTATCATAGAAGCTCATTAAGTTTTCATGGAAGCCAAGTAAGTTTATTCGAAATAAAGATTAGTTTAAAGAGGTTACGAATGCCTTTAGACCTAACTAAGGTAATATCCCGTAGACAAGACTTTTATTGCTTGTTTGTTTGCAAGGAACAAGGAAAGCTTAAGGCAGATCAGATCTCCACATCCATTTTGTTGCCTAATCAGACATTGGGCTAGTCAGCCAAGAAATTCTATTCGCACTTCCAAGATCAAAATTCTTTCTCTTGTAAATTGCGATTGCTTGGGGAGATCATACATGTTGCATGCAATTATGTATGTATCTTACGCTGAGTATAAACCTAGAAGCAAATGAAGGGGGAGCGTCGGGGCAGGAAGATCGAATATCGGCAGTTGGTTGCAATCCAGGTTAGACACACTTCTATACCTAGTATTTGTTTGATATCGCTTCAGCTACTCCGTGCAGTTCTATTTGTATATTCGTCTCTGCTGCTCAACTTGGTATTGCCAAGGTTCAGCCAGCAAGAAAGACCAAGGCATTCGAATACGAGTAACAGAAAATAGACAACTTTGAGGTATCAACAAGCTTTAGACACATTCCCACGCGAGACCGAATAGAGAGAACATCGTAAAAAGGTATAACTTCTGGCATTTGATACGGATCTTACTCAAAGAAGTAGCATAACGTGTTTGATACTTCCTAGTTAGTACGTTTTCTAATTGTGAAGTAACCAAGCATATCGAATGTACCCCACTTCAGGACAAAGCATTTATACCCCTGGAAACTAAGAAAGTCCACATACTCGTTCAACTACCATGCTCGTATGCCCGTCCATACTGCTCCATCGAGTTTAGTTTGGAAGATCCAAATGAACATTACAGCTTTGAGCTTCAGACTGAATGGATACCCATTCCAAACTTAATCTACAGAGTAAGATTTTCACCCACCGACCGGCGAACCTTCTTTTATACTTATAGATTCTGCTGGGATCCTGGGATTCTCATTTGCTACAAGATATTGAGCATTGTTGGTGACTGGGTCATCTTGCCTTTGTATGTGCTATACAATCGACAGGACGGAGTATTCTTTTACCTTATTTACTCTAAAAGAGACGGGCGTTTATATTACGAGTTATTGGCATGCATGCTTGTCTTTTCCAAATTCCGTCCACTCCCATCTGATCTTCTTACAAGTTACAGGAGTATGCATTACCTGGTAGACCAAGACCAAGACCAAGACCAAGACCAAGACCAAGACTAAAACCAAGACTAAGAATACGTCTACGCACGACTTCGACTGCGACTATTTTATATCTATCCATCTACCGGACTTCTCTGAGTCCATTTAGTATCCGAACTAGTTTTGAGGGCTTACGCTGCACCATAATCCATTCAATCCATAATCTCGATCAATTGGATCATACATAAACTCCTTAAAGGCCCCAAAACCCTAAACCCTTGAACCTGCCTATCTTCTCCACCCGAAAACGGGTTATCAACTTATGCCGACGTACTCATCCATTTTCATATCGCGCGGCACTTTTCACGAACAAAACCAAGGGATTGGTACGGCACCGAGGGAAAGATAGAAAGATAGAAAGAAAGCTTGATTCTTATTCCTCTTCTTCCTTTTCATCTCTTCCTCCTTGAATAACTTTCCGACCGAAAAACGCGAGATTCAACGGTCGATAAACTTTCACCTCCATACCAGCTAGCTGTACTTTAATATTTTAGTGAGCTATAGTCATATCAACTTCGATCCGTCAACGTCAACTCCTCGAACTGTAACTGTATCATTCTTCAAGTCGAAGTTGTCAAGATATAAGTCAGCTGTTCGGCACGTTTAAAACACTTTTCTTCATTACATCAGGTATGTACGATAATCTTTCCTCGACTACAGACATATACATATACACATACATATACACACGCATGTTTCATACACATCTTTCATATTGTTCAATCATCTTCCCCCTTTTTCGAGAAGAGAGGATGAGAAGAGGCGAGACTAGACGAGAAGGAAAGAGAAGAGAAGAGAAGAGAAGAATAGAAAGTATCCGGGTATTCGAATATTGCAGATGGTGTACCTACCTTTGCGGTTGTGCACCTAGATACCTTCATATCTTCCACCTCGCTCTCCCGTTATTCGTTCCTCGTTCCTCGGTAGGAGAGACAAACACACATCAGTTACATCATTGTCTCTTCTATCATCATCGAAATTGAGAAACATTTCCAATCCCATTCATTCCCGTTCAATCCCATCCAATCAATACCAAATCCAACCTTCACATTCATTCATTCATTCATTACACACCAAACACATATTTGAATCCTCTGCTTGACAGAGAAATTATCTGTTTCTTCCAAACCCTCTTCATTCCTCAAAGTATTTGCAGGAGTAAAAGATATGTCATCTCAACATATTCAAACACTCGTATCAATTCAATGCGCGAGGAAAGGATAATTGCGGACCCCTTCAAAATCCTCGCAAATCCACACATTCAATGTTTCTCGTACAATTGTCATTCTATTTTTGTCGTGGACCGTTTTGTATCAGAATTGATCTTGAAAGAAGCAAAAAAAAAGATTAAGCTCAAGTGCAAGCTCGAGCCGTGTTCAAAACTCTACGACCGACTAAAAACCCTTCTCCACAAGTTCCACAAGTCAAAATCTATTTATTTCTTTACTTTTTTTTCTTTTCCGGAGCAAGAATAAGCGTAAAGTCTGTGAAGCTTTAGTTTAAGCTTCTGTCACCTTGTGCGTCAACTTGTCTCATGTTCGCGTCGACTTCCGTCTTGCATTTTATTTTGGAGTGAGCCAAAAAAAGATTTCGAATATTTGACTAACAATTCATCTGAAGCGAAAAGAAGATCGGTAGAAGAACCTCTTTCATCAAACGTCTCACCATCAAGAATACACTCGACAATACCTTCACTTTTTGGAGATTTACGTCAAGGGTCAAGATTGAATCGATCAACAAATAACCTACCCACCTCGATTTCAAAACGTCAAGAACATTAATGTGCCGACTGTCCTAACTGCACAAGCTTCCATATCTGACGTCCGAGAATCTGCCAAGAAACTAAGCCGCGTAACTTCATCAAGAACAGAAACACGAGAGGATAAATCTCGAAATTCACGACTAATTGATTTGGATAGCCCTAGCACAATTTAACATTGAGGAGAGTTGATCTACCATAACTTACTTCACCTACCTACGCACACTATCGATAATCAATTACTTAATCCATACTTCTCCATGGAGACCTACCACGGACATGTACGCACTCCTGCGGATGCGATTAAGTTATTCGAAGCCTGCCGACTTGGTCTATTACCTCGAGTACAAAGGAGACTATCGGAGAAGGAAAGACAATCAATAAAGGCTGGATCAGTATTTGTTTGGGATGAAAGGGAAGCTGGAATGCGAAGATGGACTGATGGGAAATCATGGAGCGCAAGCAGAGTCTCGGGGAGCTTTTTAACATATCGGGAGATGGAAGGAAAGAGAGGAGGTGGTCAATTTGTACCACCGCCAGCACGGAGAATGGCAGGAAAGACACCGGACAGTGGAAAGGGTAGCGACGACGATCAAGATATGGACGGAGATGGACCAGACGGGTACAGGTACAAACCTGATGGGTTAATGAAACAATCATTCAGTATCACGACTTCGACTGGGCATCATCTTCATTTAATCAGCTACTACTTCTCGCGACATCATCCAAATGCTCCCGAGCTTCCACAGCCTACAAGTGATCCACAACTTCAGCGAATTGTCCCTGAAAAGGGCATGTATCCAGAATCCACAGTTCATGAAGCTCAGGGTCCAGCTATCACCAGAGCGCCAATGCAACAAGGTCCTTATATGCAACAGCCACACCCACATGTGCATCAATCTCAACATCGAGTTTCATATGGGTATCCTTCGGGATATGGCCCATGGCCACCATCGCCGGTTTCTACTCCCCCATATCATCCTCAACAGATGTATTCATCACAGCTTCCTCCGCCACCACCTGGGTCAATGCATCCTTCCCCTTATCACATGGCACCGGGACCTCCACATACATCCCCTTACCAATCTCACCAGTATAGTCCTCATCACCATCCTAGTCATGCTCCTGGCATGATGGCACATTGTCCACCACAACCAACAGTATATGATCGACCTCCACCACCTCTCTCAAACTCTTCTTTGCCACCACCGCCCCCACACAATTATCAAAACAGTGCTCCTCCGCCACACCACCCAGCCTATCGTCCCAGTCCTCAAGCTGAACATGCTAGAATACAAGCTGAACAGCATGCACTGATGGCGCAAAGAGCGTTACAAACAAGTGGAATGATTGATCCAAGATTGGCCCAAGCGCCGCCACTTCCACCAGTTAATATCGGACCCAACGGGGTTCAAAGAACAACTACTCCACCAAGGCAGGCGACAATCTCCCCGGCTCGCACACCAAAGAGTCTCCATGAACAATCAGCCAATTCTCCAAATGGAACACCAAGTGGAATTAGTAAATCAGAGGCCCAAACAAAACCATCCATCTCGAGTCTTGTTCATAATACCGATTCAGCATGTGTTCTGGAGGATAACAAATCGAACAGTGGCAATACTTCCAGACCCGGCTCAACTAGTCCAAGACAAAATGGCAAGGTTGAATCAAAGATAGATGAGGAAAAGAAAGCTTCGGGTGTTGCGAATGGGGCATCAGAAATCGGACAATTAAACGCAGGAATTTCTGCCGCGGGACTTGGGTGTAATGAAAGGGAAGATCGAAGAGCCATAAGTGTCTTGGATCGGAAATTTATGATCTAAAGGGAGAGGGGTATGGATGGTATCAGGGGCATGAATATCTGGCGTGCAAAATTACAGGAAAGGAGAGGTCGGGGGGGGGGTCAGTCAATAATGGCGTTAGGTATGAGTGGAGTTTTGCTTTTCAGGAATGATATCCCATACTTTCGTTTTTTTGGTTTCGATTTATTGCAGCATACATAGTTTTCATCTATTCTTTTTCTTCTCTGTACAATTTTAGATGAACAATCAGGCTTTTTTTCGTAATGAATGGAATAAGCAAAGGGGTATGGCTCGGTGGTTTGTTCGTTGTCTGGATGGTTGAACGTTACATTACATTGCATTGCTATGGAGTTTACATTGGCTACCTACTTCTCTTTCGTGGTTTCTGAAGAGGAGAGGAGAGGAGAAGAGAGGGTATGAGATGAGAAGATTAGATGGGATATCATCGACTCATTCTACTTTGTATTACATTACATTATATATCCAGATTCACATAAATTCAGAGGAACAAGAAGATATCAATTTGAACAATTTGGTCTAGGGTCTGTGATAGCATAATTGACATGAGTTGAGCAGATGTGGTGAGATGAGATGAAGCAAAGAAGAGAACCCCCAAATTCATACATGTGTGCGTTGTAGATACCTACCTATGCAAATGATACCAGAACTCGAGTGAGTTGATTGTGCGGAATGGAGTGGGGGAAGAGAGGGAGGGAGCAGGGAGCCTAGTACTTGAGTTTGGGGTGGTGGGGGTTGGAGAATGGGAGGGAAAGGATGGGAGGGGATTAGGGGGAGAGTGGGATGTGTACTGTACTGTGCGGAAGTAGAATGGAATAAAATAAAATAAAATAATCCTTTGTGGGAGAAATATATTTTTAAAGATTTAAAAATGAATTAATCAGTAAAAGAATGAATGAATGAATGAAAAAATTGTTGTAAGACTTACTTGAAGTAATAAAATGTAACATGGGATGGGAGGGTGTTCCATTTGATACGATTTGGTCCCGACAGAGTGGTTCATTTATTCTGTGTCTCCTGCATGTGTATATTTAGGTATATATGTATATAGGTGGGTATATACACCATGTCATGAATGATCATGGTATAAGCAAATTTTATAATGGTACTACTGTAGGTTTGCTTGCTTGTGTTTGAGGGGTGCGTGGTTGGGTTGTGGGGGTTGGATGATGGATGGAGGATGGTGAATGGTGGGTAATATTGGTAGGTTGTGTGTTGTGTATTTTGTATGCATGTTTTTCTTCATGGGGTGAGAGGGGAAGGGGAGAAAAGGGGATGCATGTGGATGTGGATGGGTGACGGGGGAGAGGAGAGAGGGGAAGATGAACCTATCTGTTTTATTGGATGGATGACGGGATGAATGAATGAAAGGTACCTAGGTAGGATAACGAATATATGGATATTGTCATGCAGAAGTTCGCGGCGTGGTTGCTGGTGTTTGTACCTATGTATGCATGTTTGTAACGTGGAATTGTAAGATCTTACATAACGTACTGGATAGGAAGAGAACAGAAAGAGGAGAAGACGAAAGAAAGTGGAGGGGAGTTATTTTTAAATCTAGGTATAATTTAGTTATTGTTTTACTACTCTCTCTGCCCCTCGATCCAAAACTCTGGTAATCCACGATTCGACCGTGTATGAGATGAGATGAGACAAGAGGCCCAAGAAATGAAGTTAAGTTTGATCTTGTCTCATCTCATCTCATCTGACCTCCTCTATTTTCCCCCCAAATCTTCGGACGGCTACTTGGTCCCGGCCGAGTACTTATCAAGTTCTATCAATCGGATCAGCATTTCGTCACCGAATCTCACCCTTCGGTGAGCGTCACTTGCTTCCGTGGTATGTAAAGAGCCTAAAACCGGCTGCGTACGTACACAAACACAAACATAGACAAGCATAATCGTACACCCACGTCCCATAAACGAGGTGACGCTCCATTCTAAGGCTCTCTACATAGCACATACCCTGCATCTCTCAACTCCGTAGAAAGATGAATCTAGGCCACACCCCATTGCTTGTCTGCAGATCCTAGATGTCAGGGACGGAGAGATAGGAATCCGATCCGCATGATATGCTGCACGCATATCCGATTAAGTCTGCCGTTTGATTCTGCCCCAACAGTCCCATGAGATTGAAATTAACATTTACCTACTCGTGGATATATCTCGGGAGGGTGGTATGCATGCAGTATATGCACACGGTATGTAAACTTGGCACTTGGCAGGGGCATAAATTGATTTGAGTGTTTAGGGTTGGAGAAGAAATGATTAAGATACAGAGTCTTGAAGTTACATATTTGACTCATTTGAAAATGTTACCATTACCAACAATTGGTAAAAATGAAAAATCTAGCCGAGCTACATCTTATGAAAAGAAGGGCGGACAAGCCAAGGTACTGCAAATGCAGATGAGAAGCCAGCAGTCAAGTAGGTAAGCGAGAAAAGGATTTTCATGAAGAAAAGCGGAGTGAATGGACGGTGGCGGTTGTACAGATATGCAACAATGAGGCGCATTTAAATTTGAGCCCAGGAACATCATCCGGATATGCAATTTCCAATCATGAGGAGAGAAAACCTTGTTTTCTTTATTTTCCATTTCAAGATAGATTTCCCGTGAAAATGTCCACACGCTAAACTTCTTCAACGGCTGTGGTGGCATGGTGGCTGTATTGATAAGAAGGAGGGTGTGCTTCAAAGCCTGCAGCATGCGCCAACTCTGCAGATGTGAGCATGCGAGCACGGAAGCGAGGCAAGAAAGGTGTAATGATATGGTAAATTGAGACCCCAACTTTGGGCTGCTGAGTAAAGACAAGGGGTGGTGCATAAGGTGTGGGTGGAGAGTTCGAGGTAGTATTGAGAAGCTCTTTAGAGCAGGCAGGGAATAAGGATGGACAGTAACATCGGAAAAGGTGACGAATAGGATTTTTATCTCGAAATTATCACTCAACTTGTGGATTTTGAGAGAAATACAAAGGAGAAGATCTGGTTTCATTGATATCAAAATCAACTCGCATAAAACAGGAATATAATAAATACAACTTTCCTTTGACGCCAAACTTGACTCGAAATCGAGACAAACATGTGCATGCGGGGTCGTGGCGCTTAATTTCTCAGCCTAATCCGAAGCAAAGCGCAGCGCTTGACTGCCCACCTAAGACCCACGCCAAGTAACATAACTACCCAAGAGGCACAGCGAAACACAAGGTGTTGCGACTCGGTCGAAACTACCCAAACTAGCCATCCGGGATCATCAATTTATGTTCCAGATTGCGCTTCGGCGCTTGTCTAAGGCTGATGGATAAATTGAAACAACATGCTCTTTCGAATTTTATACTTTTGAAACTATCGAGGCTATACTTGAAGAAGTTGTTAATCGCATATTCTAGCAACCCAAACTGGGTAAATTCTCCGGTTCTTCCGTATCTTCATCACATCTGATATATCTATCGATGGATCCTTTCACATCTCGGATCTTGGCTGCCTATAGGAAGTTACCCTATTCCCTGTGTTGTTGGTATTCAGTTGGATTTCCGGAATTCCATTATCTTAACATATGCTTAGGTAGTCTTGACGATCGGAAAGTAAGCTTCATCTCATGTACCGGCGTGATATTCGTTAATTACTGAAGTAAGGGGATTTAGAATCTGATGGACGGATATCTTGAATTCGAGAGGTATCGGTGATTGTAGATTGCGTGAGAACTTTTTCTTCGGTGTGGCGATATGCTGGATGCTACTCGTGCAGTACACAATCACCAACTGTTATGAATGCAGTGCTGCACACTTCAACCAGAATATTCACGCCCTCTTCAATTCCCAAACCATTTTTTAGCGCTTTTATCGTTGGCATGAAAATAAGGAAGAGTATTTAATGTAAAAAAAACAAAAAAACAAAGAACAAAAACAAACAGCAACACTAATATCCAGTAAATGAACTCAGACATTAAAACAAATCCTTACTTCTGGGATCTTTAAACAACCAGGTATAGAGAAACCGGCCAAACTGATCCACCTGTTCCTTTAACCGTAAATTTAAACTTGACACAGCCGGCAAACTTTATGCGGACACCTACTGTACTCTAAAATGAGAACAATACCTTCTGCAATCGATTTGTCAAATTTAAATGACATGTGAATAAATAATCATTTATCATTTCCGCGGCCCGCCGAAAGCTCGAGCTGGGTGCAAGGGGCATGCACATGCGAATGAGGGCGGGAATCAGAATGAATCTTGTTGAAGATTCGGATGTGCACCACCTGGAGTTAGATGCACTCTATTGTATTTTGGGGGCACAAGTTCGCAATTATGGTTTCGGTGATGATTTGCGGTAAGTTTCCAGTTATGTGGGAAGTATTCTAAAATGACATCTTAGTCATGCGCTTTCAATCTGTATCATTTAAGAGAGAAAAAACAGCGGTTGATGGTTGGTTGATTAGTTGGCTGAAGGCTAGGTAGTGGAGAGGATGGCGGTGAGCAAACAAGGTCATACAAAATTTCGTAAGGAGGCGAAGCTGAATTTGTAGCGATGATGCTGAAGTTGACGTAAGCAAGCATCATCCAACGATGACATTTTCACTAGAGTGACTAGAGTGTATTGGATTGAGTGAAAAGATGCACTGAATTGTAATAATTCTTGCCTCGCGGATTGCCTACGGCGAGGCATTTTCCTGTTTTCAAGAGATTGTCGCTGCATGAATTAGTGATCTCATGTCATAAATCTTTCTATTCTCACGATACCCACTACAATGGTGTCGATCGGGCTTCCCTAAGAAAGCCTCATGGTAAAGCTATCTCGGGGTTACTGAACCTCGCCTTGAAACCACTCTGCGCCATGTTGATCATTTCAGCAATCACATCTCCCAACCCACCTTGGAAATGCAACTATTTCTCTGATGTTTTGGACACCAGAAAGATACCCTAACAACCTATCGAACCCCAAGCCGAACCCTCCATGAGGTACACTTCCCCATCGTCTCAGTTCTGTGTACCATTTCAAGGAACCAA